GCAGTGGCAGAAAAGCAGCCAGGAACAAGGTGAAAGGAAGTTCATCCTTCGTCTCAAGGAAATAAAGACCTCAGACTTTTAAATGAAAATATACCTTTAGCATCAGATACTAATCACAAGGTAATTATTTTTAAAGAGTTCCTGAGGAAGCCACACGCACCCATGACACCCTTAGGCTAATATATGCACCTAGAGACTATTTCTGCCCTTGGTTGTATGTGAGTTAGTTGTCCTTGGACTGAATAAAAGCTGCTTTCCATGTTATCCTACCCTCCTGGAAAGAAAAAAAATGCCACTTCAGAAGACATGGATAAAAATGTATCATCTTAAAAAACACTCCTCAAGGGCAATTTGGATGAAAAGTTAAGCTGGGCAACATCAAACTAGGCCCCTTCCTATAAATACAACCAATTCGAAGAAGTATTTTTTTTAAGTTACTAATCTTTCTAACGAATCTCAGACTCCATCAGCCGAACTGCTTTTTTGGGAAGAAGTGTTTTAACCTAGGTGAAGACAGCAAGGGCTGGTTTAACAGAAAACATCCAAAATATGGTGATGTAGTAAAATACTGCTCTATGCTTTGTCCAAGGGAAAAAAAACCTTTGTTTAAAGAATTCCAAGCTAATGAAACTCCCACACTGGAGGGAATCTTCCTTGTTGATTTGGGTAACAGATCTTTGCAGGTCTTATGTCAGGATTGCCCTGTTTGTGGGGACCCTGAGAGGACCTCCCCTCCAGCATGTCACCTCTGTTCTCACAGGGATGAATATCCACCCCAGTTTATCTCCCCACGATCTCTCCATTACTATACCTTCAACAGTGTAAAATATCAGGTTCTGTGCCAGATGTTACGAGGATTTTTTTCAAAGATAAAGAGAATTCCTAATCTCATTAGGCTACATTTTAGACTCTATATATGTATATATCTCTTACCAAGACTAGGAGCCATCCAATGTTCTGGAACCCTCTTTGGAGCTATATTGTAGTCAGCATTCTGCATTCATTCATTCACTCACTCATTCAACCACTACTTATTGAAGACCTACAACATGCCAGGCCCTGCTTCTTGGAGCAGAGGAGTCCATGGCGAAGGAGACAGATCACCTCCTGTGCTCAAGGAGTTTACCAGACAGAGGCATCAACAGAGCAGTAAACCAATGAAGACATAATTTCAGGCAACGATCAGTGAAATGAAAATAAAGGAATGTGATGATAGAGTGAGCTAACATGGATGGAAGGGCCCGTGCAGGTGAAGAGGTTGAGCTGAACGTGAATGCCAAGAAAGAGCCAGTTGTTGTGAATCTAGGAAGATGAATTCTGCCTGTTTCTTTAGTCATGACATTTACTCATATTACTATGCCGTTTGTACAACCTCACAGCCAGTGTCTCAGAAAACTCATGGGATTCCAAGCAGAAAGCTGAAATCCCAGGGACAGTAAGAACACTTACCTTTCACTTACCAGCAGGATTACCCAGAGCATTATTTCTCAGCTGAGGGCATATTTAATTACTGAATGTTCTGCAAATATCTCCCAAACTGTACAGAGAAAGCCCTCTAAATTGCTGACTCTCTAACAGAGAAATGCCCATGTTCCCTGATGAATTTGCACCTTCAATGATTCATCATTCATTTTAATTAACAATGATGTTCTTAAGTTCTTCTGAACAACCAGATAGCTGCAAAATAGGGTTGCTTTATTTCATTAGATAACTAACTTTATTGCCACGTGAGCAATTTTATGCTAGAGAAAAAAATGCAGCAAGACTGAGATTTCCCCATTCAGGCAGCAAGCTCCCCACACCAGCCAGATTTAGAAATGATTACTTTAGCTCCTGGCTTACAAGAAAAGACTTCATATCACATATTAATTTTTAAAATGTTTTCTTAAGCTCCTTTCAGCCTTTATGGCAAGCCCAGAGGCCAGGTAAAAATGAATTATTATAATACGGTTTGTTTGAAGCATGAAAGTTCACCACCATCTTTCCCTCTGTCACATCTGGATCCCCCACTATGGTTTCTCAGGTGTCTGGTGGTTTGTCCGAGAGCTAGCCATAACTTAGGTGGAAAACTGGACTCCATTAAAGAAACATTAAAAGCTGAGAGGGAGGCAAGATGATGCAGCCTGACTCCCAGCAATAAGGAAGCAAGCGTGTATGCTGAAGCTTCGAAATAGAAAGTGATGTCCTCATAAAAACATGGCTCTAGGCTGGTGTGCCACTAGAAATTCTTCTGTCAGTTTAGAATATTTAGCTCGAAGGGATTTCAGCTTTCAAATGTATCTTTGGATGCAAAATAAGCTGCACAGGAGGAGATAACTTTGAGGAAGGGAAAGAAGCATTTACTCCCAATTACTATCAGTTTAGGTTAAACTGAAGGTTTTTCTTTTTAGATAGAGTATTTCATCAGAAAGTGTGCGAGTGGGTTCAATGAGCTACAAGCTGACACCAAGCGATCCACCGGCCTTCATAACTAGAAAATGTTGCTGGTAACTGAGAGAACTAAACAATATTAAAAGCTTGAGCACTACTGGTTATCATGGGAAACTTTCAGCCTAATTGGAGAGCTCAAAGCTTCAGGCATCTAAAATTTTTGGTTTATGGCTGTTCTACGGCATTCCGATGCAGTATTTCCAATCAATAATGTGATGCTATGCATAGCACCATCATGAGGTAACTCCCCTGAGTTTTGTATTTGACTTGTTAAACTGTAAAAAGAGTTGGAGAAACAAACAGAAAAGAAATAACTTGGTTCCTTGCTGCCAAAATATAAAACAATCAAACAAACTCCAATGCTCACAGAAAAGGGGCAAAATGGGAAATACAGAGAGATGTATTATCATGCACGAGATATGAGCATCTCGGGTAACCTTCTTTGGTGAGATCTGTCCTCCTGGGTGTGAGGCAAAGGGGTCATCTCTCCAGGCAGATTGAATTAGGTGTTAAAACTGAATTATGATAATGTAGATTCTCCCCTAAAACCATGAGGGTTTTTTTCCACCACAGATTGCTGTGCCCAGCCTAGCTACACATGGGGGCTCTGGGTCCAGAGATTAAAGCATCCCATGGAGGTTCAGGTCCTTAGTTCATCAGAGCAATGATCACCTGCACTTGGAATACTTCACGATTTTCTCAGCCTGTCTCCTAGTACAAAACCAAAGAGCAGAATCTTCACTCTCAGCGATTCTGATCCCTATGGAATTGTGTGCTCCAGAGAACTTCTGCCGAAATCCTCAGGGACTCTTGAGACCAGAAAAAGGTCTTTATTCAGTCTTGAATTTTCCTTTTCCCCAAAAGGCTCACCAAGCTGCCTTCACCAGGGCTCTGACAGGGGTCAGAGACATACTAGCAGCTGAGAGAGAGGCAAGGAGCTGATGGAGCTGAAGGTGCTGACCTGCTCCTGCCCTTTGGTGGGACACATCGATTTTGGGAGCCAGAGGACAATGTGTCCTTTGTGTCTGGGCTAAGAGAGAGGCAGACCTCAATCTGAACCTAAAGACACATGCTTACTCACATTTAAATGTTTCTGAGTCAAAATACATCTTGTATCTGCTGTTGGCCAGCAGTAGCTGTCACTGCCTGTACGCAGGCATGGAACTTGTAGACTGGCTCAGAGGGGACTCCTAGGGACCATGGTGGAGCACTTTTAGGAAATGCTCCCTCGCCGATGCCCTCGGTGACTCACAGGAGGAGCCTGTGTGGGCAGCATGTGTCAACATTGCCGACTCCAACTTGGAAAATAATTCACAAGAGTCGCACTCAGAATGCTAAAGGATTATAAATGCCTTAACCAATTCACTCCGTTTGTATTTTCCTTTTCACAGATGCACAGAGACATACATGACAGAAATCAATGCCAAAATAAGTTCAAGAGCCTTTCCAAGAAACATATAATAAAAATTCCAAGGCATAAAAAATCACTCTACCATAGTTGTGGGAATATGTCTTGCTTCCTTAACGGCACATAATAAAACCATGGTGGATCTCACAGTCAAGGAAATCTAAAATTCAATGAAATACAACATCTATATGACCTAAAAGCTTTTCCTTAGCAGCTCGGACTTCAGATTTCTCTTCTGAAAAGGGAGAATAATAACCCACAGTCCTTGTCAGAGAGATGGGGCTGACCTAGCTAGCCCAGAAGAGTTTACAGACCTCGATGTGGCACATTGTCTGTCCCCCATCAATGTCAGCAAACACTCCCTAGCCATTTCTCTACTTCAGTCAGGCCAGAACACACATACCACAAACACACTCATTTGCTCATCCCAGTGTGCTCCCCTCTGTTTGCTGAACCTGCAACCCTGCAGCAGATGGACCAAACCAGACACAATGGAGGTCTCGATGACAGTGTACCTCTCATCTGTGAGGTGGAGGAAGATGAAATACTTATTAGGATCCAGTGTTCTGGTGATAGAATGACTGACACCTAATCAGATATTTTTTAAATGCTATTCCAGGAGACTTCTCTTCCAGAGAAGAGTATACATCCATCTCAGCATGGGGAGAGGGAATTGCTTTTTAAAAACCCTCTAACTAGAAAAAAAATTATAATAAAAAAATGAGCCAAGTAAAAGCATTAAATGTTTTTTAAGTTAAAATGCTGAGTAAGTTATTTTCTGACTCTAAATATGTCTCTTTAAAAACAAAAAGGGATTAACAAATGAGCAATCTTTAACCTAAACTAAAATTTCTAAAACTCTTATTTTTATTTGATATTTCCTCTTAGAAAACCCATTTTTAAATAGTTGTTTGTCAGTGGATAAACAGAGAACTTATGGGCTACCAGTGCTCTTTTCTTTCCTTCCTTATTTGTATTTTCCTGCACAAATTGTCACCAGGCTACTGTGGACTTTTTCTGCTTGGTTGAGGTCTCTGCTGGTGGGGTCATAACACAGAAGAGAACAAGTCAGCCAATTCATGCCTTAACATACATGCAACATGGATCTCTTTGGAGGGTAGGTAGCTATTCAGAGAGATAGAAGAATCAAAACAGAACATACCGGGACATGTCAGCCATAGTTGTTCTCAGATGCATGGCATTTACTACCAAATTATAATCCCATAATGTTAGGTCAGTGTACACCTCAGACAATGAAAATAGTCTATTTCTAACACTAGGAGAAAAGGAAAGAATATAAAGTGTAACACCAGGAGAAAATAATTACATGTGGTGTGCAGGTAAGTGACCTGAAGGAAGCAGTTGGACATCAGTCTTTGCCCTGGAGCCACCTTCCTCCCATTCAACTGGGCCTCTTGTAGCTGAGGGTGCAGTTACAGACTACTCATGAGACCCTTTATTTTAGGCCATTTGCTGTTGTGCATCTGTGCAAATAAATATTCTGCATGTCCCAAAATAAGCTCACATGATGGGCATGGCAGCACACCCAGAGCACGGAAGAGGCCTGCAAACTGCAAGCACGTGACTGAGCTCTTATTTCACACTACTAACACCCGTTGGAGTTAACAGGTTGGGTTCCCTGAACCTCCACCCATCCCTGCTAACCTGGCCCCACACTTTTCAACAAATACAGCTGCCCAGATGTTACTTGGAGGAGGTGGAGAGAGATGGCAGAGGCTTTGTGCTGTCACAGCTCACTAAGCGTGCCAGGGACTTATGACCCAAACTTCCTAGCAGTTTCCAGCATATTTATTTTCCTCTCCTCACTACATCCTACTTAAAATCCTCTCCTTACCTGGGGGCCTCAGGACCCCATCTTCTTTGGGGGCTCTCCTTACCTCTCAGAATCCATGGGTTTCTTTTGGGTTCTTCCCCGCACCACTTCTTGAATGGTGATGCTCCCTAAGGCATCCTACTCAGCTGTGGGTTCAGGAGCCAAAAGCATGGACAGCACCTGTAAGGTTGTTAGAAATGCAAATGCTCAGCATGGACCTTTGAGGGCGAATCTGTCTTCCAACATCTTCACTCTGAGGCCACCTCTGTTTCCCCACTGCCCCAGTCTTCGTTCTTGACCTGATCACCCTCATCTGGAATGTTAATCAGTCTCTTAGCTGGCCTTCCTTACTACTGTCTTTCTCCCACCACTTTTTTAAATGTAAATTTTATCATAATAGGTATGCTGAATAATGACCCCCACTACGTGTCCATGATCTGTCTCCAGAACTTAAGAATATGTTATCTTACAAGAAGAAAAGGGCTATTGCAGGTATGATTAAATTAATAACCTTGACATGGGGAGATTATCCTGGATTACTCAGGTCGGCCCAATGTAAAGACAAGGGTCCTTTTCAAAGAGAGGCAAGAGGATCAGAGTGAGTAACAGGAGATGAGACAACGGAAGCAAGAGATTGGAAGGATATGAGCAAGAAGCCATGACCCTAGGAATGCAGGTAACTTCTAGAAGCTATAAAAGGCAAGGAAACAGATTCTCTTCCAGTGACTCCAGAAGGAATGCAACCCAGCTGACACCCTGATTTTAGATTTCTGACCTTTGGAATTGTTAAGGTAATAAATTTGTGTTACTTCAAGTTTGTGGTCATTTGTTAGAGCAGCAGTAGGAAATGAACACAATGTCATACATACCCTTTTTAAAAATCCCTCACACCTACTGCCCCTTACATCCCATTTCCAGTCTCCCTGTGTTTTTCCTTGAGCCATTCCCTGAAGCCAACCCCTTCTGCCTCATGAAAACTTGAACCCATGCCATCCTGTCCACGAGAGCAGGTTGTCACCATCCTTTTCATCAGCCCACCCCCATCTGTGCCCAGGCCTGGGTGCATCTGCAGGCTCTGGCAAATTACTCCTTCCCCGGCCTCGCAAAGCATTCTGAAACGCCCCACTGTAGCTCATATGTCTTGACAAGGAGTCTGTGTAAACGAGGAGTCTCGAAGCCTGAGCTTCATTAGCTTCATGGTAAATCTGTTTCTGATTAAGAGGCAAAGGAAAACAGAATTGGGTGCTGAAAATAAAATGTTAAGTAGAAAAAAGAGGAGTTTCACAGAGTTTATCTGAGATGCACATATGCTATAACCTCTCTTAGCACCATCCTCCTTGGGCTACTATGATGATTACAAATCCAGATAATCTACAGAGAGTGGTTGGCACCATACCCAGAACATCATAAGTGCTCAACAAAATTAGCTGTTCACACTGTGCTTCATTAGCATTCAATGAAAAGTTGTTCACATTTATGGAACCTTTATTATGCTGCAGCTATTGTATGAAGTATTTTACATGCATTTATTTATTTATTTACTTGCATTTATTTAATCATCATCTATCCTCTCCAGTAGATACTATTATTATCATCCCAACAGATGAGGAGATTGAGGCACAGGGAAGTGGCTCCCCCAGCTGAGATTCAAACCCAGGAGTCTAATTCCAAGGCTGGTCCGTGTAACCATGGGGCTACCTATTGATTCCAACGTGCACATTTTTTTACAGGACGGTCTTACAATCACTGACCATCACAGTCTGGCTGTGTTCTTTCGTCTCGTGGGGCACAGTAGTATGTCTTCAAGTCTATTGCTGGAGGGTATTGCTTCATTATGAGTCTATGTGGAGAAGCTCTGGTTCCTGCTGAAATTCTCAAAGGGGCCCCTTCACCATCCAGAAGAGTGATTTCAAAGATAGGGATCAGAGTTCGAGATTTTGCAAGGGCCTGAAACTCTCTTCTGTTGTCAGGAGGCCAGGGCAGGAGGCTCGTCCCTTGCACAGCGGAGTAACAGAGCGGGAGCCTAGAGGGGTAGGAGTAGGTCAAGGCAAGCCCCAGGCGGCCGTCTCCCTCCTCACTGGGGAGATGTGGGTGTTCAGGATTCCTGGAGTACCTTCTTCTCACAGATAAGGTTTAAAGACTGGCCAAAATTCACGGTAACAAAGGCCCAGAAGCAAATTAAGACTAATATTCCGTGTATATGCCTTAGAGGAAAACTTTCCCTAATTAGAGACCATTTCCTATAAAAGGATCAGGACTTATGGCACTTCCTTACACCAATCAAGCTTGCGCTTAAGCTGACATATGACTAAGCTTAGTAAAAGACATATAAACAGAACCATTGTTAGTTTATGAAATTATCTTCAGCTTAAATCCCTGATCTTTCCTTTTCCAGGGATCCTGAGGCCCCTATCCTGACAGAGATAGTGGGAGCAGGTGACACCTGAAGACTGTAATTTGGATCTCCTGTTTACCTGCCACACAGCCTCTTCTATGCCTCCAGGTAATTGCGAACCAACCGAAAGCGCCAGTGAAGAATGAAAGCATGAGAGGAGATGAGCAGCAGTATTCTCTAAGCCCCAGAAATGCAGCGCTGGAGCCGGCTGGAGGAGGCTGTTTGCGGTCAGGTGCTTCAGGACATCGCTGGTCCCAGGTGCCCAGACATCTGGTTGACTTTAGGGTCCCGCTCACAACTCTGGAACGGATTATGCACTGGATCCCAGTGGTTAAGTTCAAACCCTTCAGAATGTTCTCAGGTCCTAAGAACTCCAGGGAAGTCTCAAATATTTTGTATGTATTTGGAATAGACAGACAGATGGAAAGAAACCTCCAGGCTGGTTTAAGACTGAGCTGCTGTGCAGGACCAGGAAGTAGTGGTGGGCATTTTGGGAAAGAAGAATGCGGTTCGTAAAAACTCAGAGTCAAACGGAGACATTGGTTTTTCAGCTCGCTTTGGTGACTTAAAGGGTGAGCGGAGCCTGGTGCAGTGTGTGGGGACAGGCGGGTAAGAGGACCAGGGGAAGAAAGCCTGAGGATGATGGACACTTCCACTTGCAGTTGAAAGGAAGTTAGGAGGCACTGCCCGGCTCCTGAGAAGGGCAATGGAAGGGAAGGAGAGGGGCTGGGAGAGCGCGGGAGGCCACACAGGAGGAGGAGGAGGACCGTCCAGGACACCCAATGTACATTTTACTATGACCTTGGCCGCCCAAGAGCAAACGCTCTGAAGTCCCTTTGCCCTTCCTCAAACTTGACAGCCCCAGCCTCTGCATCTCATAGAGGGAAAAGCCTCACAAAGTAAAAAAGCTCAGTCTTCTCAAAGACTCTTATTTTAAATCTTAAAGAAATAGGCACACACCTGGTCACTGAGCGGTCACTTAGGTTGTCAAAACAATGGCAGTGATTAGAATAACAAATATTCTTGGGGTTCTCCCCCTCCATGAAGCACTCAAGGAGCTGCAGGGGATGGACCCATGGGCACTTTATAAATGAGTCCTCCCTGATACCACTTGCGTGGGTGTCTGCAAGTAAGGACAGCGGTCATCTAGTCTCACATACAGGCGGCTGGTGAGTGTGACAGCAGCACTGAGCAGCTCCATCACCCGGGGAGCTGGGTTTGATACCATAATCGAGGGCGACTCCCAAGAGAAAACCTGTAACAGTGAACGTGAGCAAAAAGGGTAAAATCCAGGAATAAAAAGGAAATGGTTAATAGCGAGCTGAAGGGCACAGAGAAGCTCAACCCTGAGAATCAGCAGGGGCAGTTACTGCGTAGAGGGGCTGGAGGCTCCGTGCCTCAGAGCACAAAACCGAAGTCTGGGAGAGGGAGGCAAGGTGCAGACTGTTAAGCAGAAAAGTGCAGGTTTATGGAAGCAGCCTTTAGAAACTGCACTTTATCAGAACCTAATGGAACAGGAGAATCCTCTCCCTCCTCCCCACCACTCCTGCACCATGGCTCATCAAAGGGCTGACAAAATAAAATAAAAGATCATGAAAATGTGAAGGGGAGGAAGAAAAGACAGACAAGGAGGGCTTGGTGAGGAGGGAGAGAACCTGACATCTGAAGACAGACCCCTGCAGGTGAGACTGGGCACGAGTGTCTCCAATTACAGGGAAGGATGAAAATGGCAGAGAAGATATGAAATGGCGTATTTGTGTTTGTTCTGTACTGAAAACGAGCCGCTTCATACCCCCGGGACAATTTTCACAAAAACTAAAATGTATGGCAAAGGAGGAAGGGGACCTGCACGAGTCCAGCAGGCCACTCAGCAGGCCGCCCTTGCACTGCAGTGACGCTGATGAGGGGGCCCAGCCATGATCCCCAGGGCCCCTCACTCCACACCGTGCCCTTACTGTGGACCCAACCTCAGTGCAAACATGAACACCCACACATCTGTCTCCTTGTCTGTCACAAGCTCCTATGGTTCTCTGCCTCCAATGTTTCTTCCCTGCTTGCTCCAGTCCACACTACATGCTGATGAATCTGGGCAATCCGATCTTCCCTGACCTTCCTACCACCCCAGGAAGGCCACAGGTGGCCTTGGAGGTTAACTTTGACCACCTACACTTGATCCAGTGACCCCCCTTAGAGCTCCTCGCCAACCACAATTCTACAGTGTAAATATTCTTACAAACTCACCCTCACACGCTTGGATGACACGGGGTTTCTCAGCCTTTCTGCCCTCTTGCTCCCCTCTTCCTGTCCAAACCACGTGTCTTTTAAGATTCACCTCTTTTTTTTAACAGCTTTATTGAGACGTATTTCACATACCATACAGGTCACTCATTTAAAGTGTATATGACTCAGCGGCATTTAGTATATTCACAGTGCAACCATCACCACTAATTCCCGAATATTGTCATTGCCCCCAAAATCAACCTCAAATCCATCAACACTCCCTCCCTTTCCCTTCCCCGCTTTGTTCCCACAGCCACCTCAGCCCTGGAACCACGAACCTACTTTCAGTCTCTATGGATGATTCCCCTATTCTGGACATTTCACATGAATGGACTCATAATTGTTTGAGACTGGCCTCTTTCACTTAGTTCTCAAGGTTCACCCAAGCGCTGCATTCTTTTCTTTTGCTGAATAATACTCCCTGTGTGGACATACCACCCTATGTTTAGCCATTCATCACTCAATGGACACTTGGGTTGTGTCCATTTTTTTGCTGTTGTTAACTATTGCTGATCTACATATTTGTGACCAAGTTTTCTGTGGAATAGCCAGATGATGTGGTAACTCTACGTCTAATATTTTGGGGAGCTGCCATCCTGTTTTCCAAAAGCACTCAAACCATTTTACATTCCCACAAGCAATGTATGAGGGTTTCACTTTCTGTACAACCTTGACGACACTTACTGCCTAAGATTCACTTTTCCCAGGAAACACATACATACAGTCAGTTTGTTGACCTTTCACTCCTGGCCAGTGTCTGTGCTTGGTGCTCCATGCGTGTTATCTTGTGTAATCTTCACAACCCCTCAAGAAGCAAATTCAATTTTTTCCTTTTTGCAAAAGAAGTAAGGCTTAGAATATAACGACTAGACAGAAATACTTACTGGCAGGGATGCATCCCCAGCTGTCTGTCTCCAAAGCCCAGTTTTAAATACCACCCTAGGTAGCCCTCCAAGATGCCTTTCCGAGCCAACCCTAGCCCCTCTGATCATTTCTTCTTCTGAAATGAGAGCTAGTAATGGTGTGGATGCCATCTGGTATTGTTCTCTAGTTGTTTCCTATATAAAACATTATTTTCCCAACTAGACAGTAAACACTGTGTTGGCTGAACTATTGTTCCTCCACTTTGTACTGCAGAAATAAACTGTTTAATAAATGCTTAATGAGTTGACAAAAGGTTTTTAATTTGACATTTCTGTTTTCTTTTTTCTGAGAGGCGGGGGACACGTTGAAGACATACGGTCTCCCTTTCGGCCTGTTTCCATGATGTTTGAGGAGGCAAGAAGGAACAGACTGTGACAGCTCACATGCAGACTCACATAATCCCTCAAAAACTAGAGAAATTTCTGTTTCACATAATGTTACCTGATTTTTCTTTTTTCAAGCAAGACTTTATAAAAGGACACCTTGCTTTTCCTTTGGAACTCAAGATACACACACACACACACATACTCCATGCATACATGTCTACACATGGGTATGTACACATGAGCATTTTTTGCTCGTGTATTATATAACCAGGGCTTTATATCTGTTACCTCTTATCTGTCTAACATCAGTCAAAGGAGGTATCAGTTATTCCCATGTTATACACAAGGAAACCGACACTCACAAATTCAGCTGACCAGAGTCACACAGCTAGTCAGTGACAAAAACCACTTTGGCCTTAAAGCCAGCACTCTCTTTCCTGGGTCGAACCACCTGTCTCATGCAGCCACGGGCCACAGAGCTTGGCCATGGGGCTACATTAGCCTGTCTTCTTATCCTCTTTCAGCTCCTAGCCTGTGGCCACCACAACCTGCCCCACACAGTCCAGCTCAGTAAAATCTAGTCCTGCATCCCCATCACTATGCCTTCTATACCCAAACATCCTAACCAAACCCTGGAGATCTGTATAAAAGCATTCTGGAATAAGAAGCAGGTGAAGTTTGGATTCATGAGCCAAAGGCTTCAGGTTTTGAAATGATGTGCTAAAACTGGATGGTATTCAAATAAACTCTTAGAAACATGCTCAGCCTCAATGGATTCCAAATGGTTACTCAAAAAAGCCTGTGGGAAAAAAATAATAAACCCCACAAGTTAAAATGGGATCAGCTTGACCATGTTCTCATTAGCTATACCTCCTAGAAAAATGTGGATGAACATCATTGAGAGACCCTTCAAATAAACCTAGATAGCTTGGTTTTAATCCAGTGTGACATTAGTCACTTAGTCTCCATGGACCTCTGTTTCTTACAGTATTAAAAAAAAAGCTATTTGATTGAATTACATAATCCCTAAAGCCTCCTTTAAATATGAAATTATATGATTCTTTAATAATTAGGAAGGGGCCTCTCTGGGAAGAAGAGGATCACGAAAAGGATAATTTACCTGGAGTCTACTGATGTGGTACAAGGGGACAAGAAGTCCCTGAAGGGGAGGCAGAAAACTGTGTGAGCTCCCATCAGAAGACAGAGGATCCTTGGTGTCCTTGGCTTCTCAGAATCAGTAGCATTCCAGGTTTGCCTGTAGGTTAGAAATGAAGAGTGGTGGTAGAGAATTGTTCCCTGTAGAGGACTGAATTCATGCAGAGGGCAATCTCAAGGTGCTCTCCTTACCTCTTACAAACAGTGCAATACAAAACACCTGGACAAATACACACTCAGCTGAGCTCTCTAAAGCTTCCTCCTCTAAGGTAGCAAATGAAGTTGGCCCCCATCTTTCAGCGTGTGCTGAGGTTCACCTGCACCAAAATGGCCTTTGGTGACAGCTTCACCCACAGATTTTCACCACCACATGCCAAACTTGGTTTCCTAGAAACCTCGGGGGATCTTACCCACATTCAAGATGGTCTTTCTTCATTGGAGAACCAGTGTTAGAGATTCACACTCTTGTGCATAATCCTAAGGAAAGTCTAGATTTGGCTTTAGACACTGTAACTGTCTTCTGGATTTTATTTTATCTCTATAGATAAATGATAGATCAAATCTGAGAGCCAATTAAAATTGTGAACACAGAGAAAGCATAAAATAAGGTCTATATTGGTTTCTGCTAGAGAAATTTCTAATTTGAAAACAGCCTAAATACAGAAGTTTAAACACGATCAAACTTCAGGGCTGATAATTTGATGTGGGGGTGTAGTATTCTGTTACCCTGGCATCAGAGGAGAGGGCACCTCTGCAGAAAATGGCACCATGTCCACGAGTCTTTACCCCATCACTCAACATGAGGGCAAAGAGGAAGAGCTGGATATTTTAAAAACAAAATATAAAATGAAAGGTAATGAACTGTTACATTTGAAACAGAAATTTATAGATATAATTGGCCTTCCTTTTAAGCATATGGACTCCAACCTTGAGGGGATCTTAGATGCGTGTGTGTGTGTGCGCTAGCATTCCCTTGCTTTTTTGTTTCTACTGTGGTAAAATATACAAAACAAAACTTACCGTTTTAACCCTTTCTAAGTGTATAGTTCAGTGTCATTAAGTACATTCACATCTTTATGCAGCCATCACCATCCATCTCCAGAACCTTTAGTGTTTAATGGGTATGTATGAAACTATATACCCATTAAACACTAACTCCCCTTTCCCTCCTTCCTCCAGCCCCTGGTAAGCAACATGTCATTTTCTGTCTCTATGAATTTGACAATTCTAGGTACTTCACAAAAGCAGAAGCCTGAAATATTTATCCTTTTGTTTCTGGCTTATTTCACTAAGCATATCTTCAAGTTTCATTCATGTTATAGCACATGTCCAAATTCCATTCCTCTTTAAGGCTGTATAATAGTCCATGGTGTGTATATGCCATACTTTGTGTATCTCTTTATCCATCAGTAGACATTTGGATTGTTTCCACTTTTTGGCTACTGTGAATAATGCTGCTATGAACCTTGGTGTAAAAATACTTGACCGAGTCCCCGCTCTAAATTCTTTGGGGTAGGGATCTTTGGTTTTAGGATAAGTTCTCTAGCACCTTGATAACCCATGACAAAAATACTACTGTCAAACTCACAAAATCCCCAAATCCCCAAATCACTTATTCCTCCCTTTACCCACCTATTAACAATCTCAGTTGTTTATAAAATTTCAGTTATTTTTCTAATGTGTCTTCCTTTGTATTCACTCATTTATTCATTCATTAACAAGTATTTATTGGGCACCAGCTGTGTGCCAAGCATTCATGTGTGTGCATGCCAAACATTTTGCTAGGCCTTGGAGATACTTGTGAGAAAAGGAGGATATAGTTCTTATCTTATAGATGCAGACTGCAATCAATAATGAACAAATGCGTAACTGCAAACTGATCAGAATTCAGAAGGAATAATCCAGTGAATTCTGACTGCTTATAACAGAGAGCACTGAGCTGGTGCTGAGGAAAGGGAGGCTTCCCTGAGGGAGTGATCTTTGAGGTGAAGGATAAGCAGGAGTCACAGGCTAGAGGAACGAAATAACATTCTACATATAGGAGGTACCTCCATGCAAAGGCCCTGAGGCAGCAGCTGGGTGCAAGATCCAGAGCGTACAGAGGGAGATAGGCCAGATCAAGCATGACCTTGAGAAATGTTGGTGTATATGCCAAGAGCAGGGAGAAACTACTAAAGAGATCTGCTCATTTACTGAGAGCCTCTTGAGGGCCAGGCCTCTTCCATCAACAAGAAAAGCCTGTGGCCTCAGGAAGCAAAGAGAGAGAAGGACCTCTGTCTTTGTACTTGCATTTTTCCTGATTGTAAAAGGGAGAAGCCACCCCTCGGGCCTAACATGAAGGCTGTGGGAATGGCAGTTAACTAGCTTCGCTTTCAATATCAGGAGTTGATGGCTTGGAGTCGCACTTTTTTGCAACTTCCCTTGTTATTGCCCGGATACCTGCTGCTCTAGCTACAAGCACAGGAGTGGGGAATTCCACAGCAGTTGGACCTTTTGTTGACCACCAAGGACATTTGGAATTAAGCAAGCCAAGGGTAATCAATTCTAGAGCTTCAGGCTAGTAGACCACCTGTGGGGCCTGGGAGAGCTGTTTCCTTTTTATATGAAATGGTACAATGGGCTTTGTATGTAAGCGGTTTTCCTCCCCCAACCCTAACTATTGCACAGTGGCCTCTGCCAGAGGCCAGGTACCTAACTGCTCAGATCAGGGTCCAGCTCAGTTTGGGAAATCTTAGATTCATTAAAGAATAATGGAATTTGTTTTCATTTGCAGGAGCAATTTCCTTTTCCTCCTTGAAAAGGAAATGTGTGTCTATATCTGTAATTCACATGAAACTGCATGTAGAGACACAATAAGGCAGAGAAAAGGAAACTGGGAGACACTTACACCTTTGTTACATGGAGGCCTCTGCAGGATTTTCCTGTGGTTTGACACATGATGTGTAACTGGGCAGGGGGCGCAAGGCTTTCACCTTGTCAAAGGTTCAAGTTTAGCTGAAGCTGAAGCTGGGTAAAGTACACAGAGAGACGTGGCTTCCTCTGGTGGTGGCTACTGGGTGCACACGACTTGCCTGGGGGAGGCCGTGTCAGCACCCCCATTAGGCTTTCCTAGTCTAATTAGGAAATACACACAGTCAAGTTTCTCCAAAATTAAGAGCCAGCTAATTAGGCTGTGAAGATGTTCCCCTAGAACTTGCTGTGGTTGGGAAACACCTTTCCCTTTGTTTGTCACAAACAGAGGGTGAGGAGAGGCATTGAGTCAGGGTAGAAAGGTGTGAAGCAAATGAAGGATAAAGGGGAATAGAATATGAAGGAGGTGTCCGCCGGAGTCCAGCTCCAGCAGGGGGGTGTGAAGTCCAAAAGGATGAGACGGAGTAGGCGCACAGAGAGACAGGACACAGAGTCAGATGGAGGTTGTCTCTCGACAAAGTGCCAATGACAGCTTTATTTATACCATTTTGCACAAGGATATGATTATTTTTTATTGTTCCGTTGATTGATTAGTATAGGCAGTTAATTAATAAGTATAGGCAAGCTTTTTTCTTTCTTCTTCTTTCTAATCTATTCATGGTTGGTCAAGTGTTAGACACGTGATTGTTTTTCTGTTCCTTGACCGAAACTTTTCCTAGCAACATATACTCTATTGTGTTTCTTGTTTCTATGCAAAGCGGTTTATACGTAATGCATGTGACCACAGAAACGTGCAGCATATAGCAGTGACTATGGAGTCTATCAGCTCAGAGTGAAATACAGGTCACCTAGTGCCAGTTAGCTAGGATTCTTTCCCACAAAAATATTCTTAGAAGCTTTAATAAATTTATAATCAATCTAAAATCAGAAACTCATATCTTCACTTTATACTCCTTTATAAGGCACAGTAGGCAGCAAACTAAATTTCCCCTTCTTATCTACATTTCTCTTTCTTCTGTGTGGATACCAAGATCTCCCTGACATATGCTACACAGGTCTCCATGACTCCACTACTGCAGGGACTAAACAAGTTCTTACAAGGTGAACAATGCAAGGGCATTCATAACATAGAAACTGTTTCTGTTTTAACTACAAACCTTAAACTATAAACAATCAAGTCAAAAATGATGTATGATTATTTGATTTTTATACTTTATATATGAATCTCACATTTTCTCCTTTACATTTCTAATAAAATGCTGAAGTAGTAGGTAGATGCAAGATATAGATAGAAAGCATGATTTAGTGCTGTAAGAAGGCAAGTGTAAATGATCAGGTCTGTGCCTATAGACTAGGTATTAATCCAGGCCGAACAAGGACAACAAAACATTAACGGATGTAGATAATTTCTCTCAAAACTGGGGGGATGAGGTTCTAAGCCTCACCTCTCTTGGCCCCCATTTTCTCACCTGATGGCCCCCCTGCGACTGTGCCTGTCTTAGGTTGTTCCTCCCTTGAGGAATCTTACCCGTCTCTGGCTAGCCAGCCATCTTACGGGGCCATACAGGGAGATGTAAAGCTGGTAAGTGAGAGAGAAGTAATGTTCTTTGAAAATGTTAGCTTTTTACTTCTTTGCAGATTTATGCCCTGTGGNAATGGCTGTAATTAGGAAAGAAGAAAAAAAAACTATAGAAGTAGCAGAGGGAAGAAAACATGAGAAGATTAATTAAGTGTCAGACAGGGTTATTCTATTCAACATTCTCTCATAACTCTATTTCTAGAAAACTTTCCATCACTAGTTTCACTAGCATTGTACTAAAAAAGGGGGGTAATCTCAGTGGAAATGGGGTGGTCAATGTTTGACTAACTAACAGTAGGTTTCGGTACTTTATGCCAAGATTGCCATCTGGCCCCTGCGTGTTCCATTCTTCAGGAGCACTGTCCTGAAAAGCTCCTGGGAAGCTTATGTTCTCATCCTTTCCACACTGCTCAGCAAAGGTTAGTTAACCCTTAGCAAAAAATGCAGGTAAAAGCAAGCCAATAGTATAATAGAAAAAGCAAAAGCAAGGTGGGTAGTAGAGGGAGCCAGCTGCAAAGGCCCCTGCTTTGTGGGGGGTCTTCCTCCAGCCTGAGCTTTGCTATACAGCTTGAGTAGCATGGCTCCCAGCAGGTGTCCGAAGAATGGAGACC